AAAAAAAAATCACAATTCAGAGATTCTGTAACGCACTTGTAGCAATTTTTTGACGCAAATGGCTTTTTCTATTAATCGAATACCAAGACCGTTCAAATAAATGTGTGTGGATTTCATACTAGTGATTTCATATGGAGCGCAGCTAAGTCAGTTCCTCGATCCTGTATTGCAGATCTTCAATTTGTATTCACGGTCTATCCAATACATGTGCGCCGCCTATTCAGTAACTGTCCGTACAGTCATTTGCTTTCTCACGGGTACCACAGCACTCATTATTGTACCATGAAAGCAACTGCCGATAAGGCCATTTACATGCTTGCCCAGGAGATTTTACTTTCTTTTGTAAGCGAAGTGATATCTTTCACACCATCGACCTGACGATGAGTCCGGTTGTTTATGTGGTCGCGAAAAGACGAAAAAAGCATCCTTCATACCATCATTCCCTCTGTCTCAGTTACCGCTCGCTATTTTACTTTCATCATTGATTAAGTTTCGTATGCATCACCAATTCATGCGTGATTAAAACGCTGAAACACCTCAAATTTTATCAAAACTGGAAATTCATTCGTGATTTTTGGAAAAAAAAGAATCTTTTAAATCTTCATGATTGCTCGGCCCTTAACGCTGATTACATGACCATAAGACCAGTTCATAATTTTTCGGTAAAGCGACAAAGAGAAAATCCAGTATTTTCTTTGGACTCACACGCTAATAAGCATTTTCAGACATTTCACATAAATTACGTTTCGGCCAAAAAAAATTCTCCGGGCTGAACACACTGCTTCCTTTGCTGGCAGCTAGTGGGCAACGCTTAGCAGTGAATGATACCTACGAGGAAGAGCACTATACGGGCAACCTGTGGTGATGCGCATACTCATGGTGTTCGTCAGCAACAGCTGGAAACAAATACATCTAGGCAGGTGGGCCATGCGCTATTGTTAAGTTGGTTGGAAGTTAAGCGCATCGATTTATGCCAAGAACTACGTTATTTCTGTTTTCAGCAGTAAGCTGGCATATTTTGATTATAGTTTGTAGGTATCAAGTTACATAAATATGCACAAATCTGGTCAAAAATTTGCATAGTTGCGACACAAGTTTTTTTACGAGCGTTATAGGTGAATGGTTGCTTGGACAAGCATTGCTGTGCGATGCATTTGTCAACAGCCTATTTCACGACACTCACCATACAATTTATCGTCATCACACAAGCTATCATTTTCCTATTGGTCAATTATTTGCGAGGTATTTGTTTTCATGAAACTGACGTTCAATTGCCTTTTTTGGCTAAAAATTCAAGAAATACACCAGTTTTCTTTGATGCTTAGCAGTGACAGCTACCGGGATGTCTCAGTCTGGTGCTGTGACCACAAGTTAATTAGCTAATCAATAAATGCGATATTGTAAACTCATAGCGAGATATAAAAACAAAGACCGGTCAGATTATCAGTGCGAATATCCCTGCTAACCGGCTCCAAAGATACTCCCAAATGCCGAGTGGGACTGGAACGGACATTATATATATAACAGAAAGATGACTAATAAGATGATAAAAAAATAAGCACGTTTCAGTTCATTAAGCTGAATACACTTTGCTGTAAAATCGCAAACAAACCGCTTCAGAAAGACCTTCAGGATCATTCTTTGACTTGAGTTATTCCTGATTTCCATCCCCACCAGTTAAGGCTATCATTTTCTGGGCATATTTTTTCAGGTTTGGAGGAATACTCGGTGGCAAATCCCGACTTGAAAGGTATTCTACGATTCAACTGTCTTTTGCCACTGGTCATTGTCCAGGTTAGCTGTTTAGACCATAAAACCCAAAACGGTTCAGTTTCTGAAGCAGAACTTCCATAAAATTCCTGTTGTATTCATAATGCCAGTTCTCTCTTTTTCCTAGGGATTTTCTTGTACGTCCCTGGTTTGTATTTGTTTTCCCCGATACGCACACGAACGATTTTTTCGCAGCCTTCCGGGCAATCTCGTTTTTCTTCCAAATACCAATCTCACTACAGAAAATTAATGAATAGCGCCTTCCAAAAACTTTTCTGAGAACCAAGAAAGAGGGAAAAGAAAATCACGTGGAAAAAGTACATGAAGATGTTGAAACAGAAATAATATCGAGTACCGAGCACCTCATATCACCGTCCTCTCCAGGAAATCAACGAACATCCAGCGACGGCCTTGTTGTTACTCTTGAGGTAAAGCTGTTAAAACTAATTGGGCGGGCTTTCACTGTTCGACTGTTTTAATTATATTTCTGAATTTAAAGGTATCATGGCTTTTAAGCGCAGTCGGCTCGATTTACTCAGTTCAAAGGATCGCACCGTATCTGATGCTTCCTCACCTCTTCACCTCATTAGTTGTCTTATTCGCAGCTATAGCACTTGTTGCTCTAACAATTTATCATCTTAGCAAAGGTATGTCAAAATGTCTTCGGAACTTATCAAGTCGAAAAAATGATTCAGATTTATTGACAAAATCCTGAAAAGTTTCTTTCTGGCTTGTTTTTGACGATATCGCCCATGGCCGCACAGAATCTTCTCTTACAGATTTTGGTGAGGTATTTTCATCCTATGCGATGAAAAATTAGCGGAAAGAATTAATTTTTATACGTTTTTTGCAGCAATGCAATGCGAAAAATGCATAAATTCATAACTCGGGGATCTGAGATGCTAGAAGGCCGAAATCTTGCAATAATATTCCCCACCCAAGCGGGTATTAGTGGGTTCAAACCCAGCCCCCGGGTAAGCGTGGTGCCCGCGTACGATCCCGCCAAAATTTTTTCGGGTAAGTTCATAACTCGGGGATCTGAGAAGCTAGGAAGCTAGAATCTTAGGGGAATGTTCCCCGCCCAAGCGGGTATTGGCTGGCTCAAACCCAACCCCCGGTAAGCGTGGTTCCCGCATACGAGCCCGCCGAAATTTTTTTCGGGTAAGTTCATAACTCGGAAATCTGAGAAGCTAGAAAGCTAAAATCTTAGGATGGTGTTTCCCGTCCAAGTGGGTGTTAGTGGGCTCAAACCCAGCCCCCGGGTAAGCGTGGGACCCGGGTCCGCCAAAATTTTTTTAGTGTAAATTGATAACTCAAGTACCTGAGAAGCTAAAGGAATATAATTTTAAGAGGATATACTCCGTCCACTTAAGTTTCACTCAGCTCGAACCCAGCCCTAAGGTGTGCTTGGTACATGGACAGGCCCGTGAAAATTTTGTTCCAGTAATTTGCTAACTCAGGTGCCAGGGAAGCTAGAAAGCTGAAATTTTAAGGGGATGTTTTCTGACAGTTCT